TGCAAATGGTACAAAATTAGAAGGTAACGTTGATAGCAAGGATGGCTATCAAAAATTACAGAGGGCTCTTGATCAGATGGGGAAGTGGGCTGAGGATTGGCAAATGCAATTCAATACAGATAAGTGTGAGGTGTTGCACTTTGGAAAGTCAAACCAAGGTAGGATTTATACAGTAAATAAGGTCCTAAGGAGTGTTGTGGAACAGAGGGACCTAGGAGTACAAGTACATAGTTTGTTGAAAGCGGCATAAAAGGCAGACAGAGTAGTGAAAAAGGCATTTAGCATGCTGGCCTTCATCTGTCAAGGCACTGAGTATAGGAATTGGAATGTCATGTTACAGTTGTATAAGTCGTTGGTGAGGCCGCACTTGGAGTATTGTGTACAGTTTTGCTCACTCTGTTATAGGAAAGACATAGTTAAACTGGAAAGTGTGCAAAGAAGATTTACAGGATGTTGCCATGATTAGTAGGTTGGCCAGGATAGAACGTAGGAGAATGAGTGGTGACCTTATTGAGGTGTATAAAATCATGAGCAGCAAAGATAGGATGAATGCATATAGCCTTTTTCCCAGGGATGGGGAATTGAAAACTAGACGGCATAGGTTTAAGGTGAGAGGGGAAAGATTTAAGAAGGGCCTGAGGGGCAACTTCTTCACGCAGAGAGTAATGTGTATATGGAACGTGCTGCCAGAGAAAGTGGTTGAGGCAGGTACAATAGCAACGTTTAAAGAATATTTGGATAGGTACATGGATGAGAAGGGTTTAGAGGGATATGGACTGAATGCGGGCAATTTGAACTAACTGAGAGGGCACCATGGTCAGCATGGACCAGTTTGGGTCGAAGTGCCTCTTTCCATGCTGTGACCCTCCTAAAATACTGGACCAATGCCCTGGCCTTTTCAAAACTTATAAAAGTAAAAGAGGGCAGCTGGGATGAGCTCTAGGAAAAATATACAGACACAGAGATGGCTGCTTGAAACCACTGTTAAGTGGAATTCCAATTTACACCTCCACTCGAAGAGAACAATCAACCAAACCTAACACTCGAGGCTGAAACTAACTTTTACACATCAGGTTACCCAGCGCACACTTTATGGAGCCTATACAGATACCAGACATTCAACTGAAGTTGCTGGAAAAGCTCAGCAGGTCTGACAGCATCTGTGAAGAAAAATCAGAGTTAATGTTTCGGGTCTGGTGACCCTTCTTCAGAACGGGTCACCAGACCCGGAACGTTAACTCTGATTTTTCTTCACAGATACTGCCAGGCCTGCTAAGCTTTTTCACCAACTTGTTCTTGTTCCTAATTTACAGTATCTGCAGTTCTTTCAGTGCTTACCGAACATTCAACTTCAATCAAAGTCAATTCACACAGATATCAAGTATTCACCTTCAATCAAAATTCATTCACACAGACTCTTAACTATCAGGAGGCCAACTGACTTCAAAGACAGCAGCTATAACACATCAGTGCAAAAGATAATGCTGAAGCTTTCACAGCAATCTTCAGCCAAAAGTATTGAGTGGATGATCCATTTCAGCCTCCTCCAGTGATCCCCAGTCATTACTGACACCAGTCTTCAGCCAATTCAATTCACTCCACGTAATATCAAGAAATGACTGGGGACACTAGACACTGCAAAGGCTATGGGCCCTGACAACATTCTAGCAATACTACGGAAGACTTGTGCTCCAGAATTTGCTGATGTCCTAACAAAGCTGTTCCAGTACAGTTACGACACTGGTATCTACCAACAATGTGGAAAATTGCCCAAGTATGTCCTGTACACAAAAAGCAGGACAAATCCAACCAGGCCAATTACCACCCCATCAGTCTACTCTCAATCATCAGTAAAGTGATGGAAGGTGTCATCAACAGTGCTATCAAGCAGCACCTGCTCAGCAATAACCTGCTCAGTGACGCCCAGTTTGGGTTCCGCCAGGGCCACTCAGCTCCTGACCTCATTACAGCCTTGGTTCAAAAATTGAAAAAAAAGGAACTCCAGAGGTGAGGTGAGAGTGACAACCCCTTGGCACTCAACGATGTTACCGTCACTGAATCCCCCAGCATCAACATCCTGAGGGTTATCATTGACCAGAAACTCAGCTGGATTCACCACATAAACACAGTGTCTAAAAGAGCAGGTCTGAAGCTAGGAATACTGCAGCGAGTAACTCACCTGCCGACTCCTCAAGGCACGAGTCAGGAGTGTGATAGAATACTCTCCACTTGGCTGCACTCAGAAGCTTGATACCATCTAGGACAAAGCAGCCCGCTTGATTGGCGGTGCATCCACAAGCATCCACGCCCTCCATCACCAATGGTCAGCAGCAGCAGTGTGTACTATTTACAAGATGCACTGCAGAAATTCACCAAAGATCCTCAGACAGCACCTTCCAAACCCACAACCACTTCCATCTAGAAGAACAAGGGCAGCAGATATATGGGAACCCACCACCTTCAAGTTCCCTCCATGCCTCTGACTTGGAAATATATCGCCGTTCCTTCACTCTCACTGGGTCAAAATCCTGGAATGCATTGTGGGTCAACCCACAGCAGGTGGACTGCAGTGGTTCGAGTAGGCAGCTCACCACCACCTTCTCAAGGGCAACTAGGGACGGGCAATAAATGCTGGCCAGCCAGCAGCGCAAAGGTAACAGGTCCACAATTAATATAATTGCAAGCCCCAATCTCACCTGAAAGAGCTATCTCCCTAAGAGCTGTTCTCCGAACAGCTAATTCCAGGGACTATTTCCAAGAGCTATCTCTAGAAGGGAGATCCCAACAGCAATTCCGAAACCAAACAACACAGGCCTGTTCTGTACCAGGGGAATCGACAGCAACCGATAATGACCAGAAGACCTAAGGAATGACAACCGCCAAAAACCACCAACCCGACCAACAGCACAAGGCCTCAGATACATCCTGAGGTGAAAACCGGCCCACAAAGCCACTGGAAAGTGAAGAAAACCAAGTATTCACCCGATAAATCCACTACGCGTCCTACTGCGTCAGCGGACTCAACCCAAACTGAAGGCCTACATAGTCTGAAGACTTCATCGAGGCACTGGGTATGGCAAGGGGGAACAGCCAGCTGTACTTCAAAACTGTGTTTTTCCCCAGTGGTGAGCTTAAACTCCCAAGACCCCAAAGTTTCCCCCCTAGCTAGCAGAGAGGAAGGCAGATGGTGACAGTGCAGGGACACCAAGAAGTGGTAGCCTGATTAAAGTTTCTGTGATTAAAAATGCTGTTTAGCTTCTAATAGTGTTTAACCTGTGTTTAATTTAATATTGTATTTAATTATTGTCCTCTGATAGTTGTTTGTGTCAATTTTACTGTTTATTACATTTGCCTTTATTCCTTGTATTATGCTCACATTGTGTATTTAACCTTTTACCCTGAAACACCTGTCTACTGACTTCTTCATTTCAGATTTCTAAATAAGTCTACTGTCAGAACCAGGGATCCAGGGGTGATTCAAGCCACCTAAAAATCAGCAAATTACAGATTGCAAACCAGAACTCTACACTCCCCAAAACCTGTCTACTATCTACAAAGCACAAGTCAGGAGTGTGATGGAATACTCATCATTTCTCTGCAGTCCAACAACACTCAAGAAACTTGACACCATCCAGGACAAATCAGCCTGTATGACTGCACCAGATCTCCCTCCATCAACGATGCTCAGTAGCAGTAGTGTGTGCTAACTACAAGATGCACTGCAAAAATCCACCAAAGATTCTTAGGCAAACCTTCCAAACCCATGACCACTTCCATCTAGAAGAACAAGGGCAGCAGATAAATGGGAACACCACCACCTTCAAGTTCCCCTCCAAGCCACTCACGATTCTGATTTGGAAATATATCTTTGTTCCTTCATTGTCACTGGATTAAAATCCTGGAATTCCCTTCCTAAGGGCATTGTAGGTCAGCCTAGAGCATGTGGACTAAAGCATTTCAAGAAGGCAGCTCACTACCACCATCATGTTCTCAAGAGCAACTTGGGATGGGCGATAAATGCTGGCCACCCAGTGCCATCCATTTCCTGTGGGTGAACAGACTCAATGGGCTGAATGGATTCCTCTTTTTCTATTTCTAATGACCTTAAGAATAAAAGTAACTTGTAAAATAACTCGACAGAGGCCAGAATCCCACCCACCCTTTATTTACACATGCATAGTACTTGACACTGGTCTGGCATGCTCAGAGCCAGTTTTCACAGTGAACAGCATGTTTGACACTCCTCCTTATATCTGTCAGCCATGGCTCCCTGATTGGAACAGATTAACAGCCCCAATCAGGGAACTCATATTGTAAGATGTCTGCCTGGCTGATCGCATTATATCACTACAACTTGTCCTATGTCAGATTGTAACACAATGTGGCACTCTGGACCGAATAACATGCTTCACCCATCTGTCATTGAATTATCTACTCAATTCCTATATTCCTCACAGATATCTGTGTTAGTCCAATTGTGATCTCTTGTAAGTCTTCACTTTTGGTGGATTCACCATTGGCAACCATGCCTTCAGCTACCTGGGCTCCAAGCTCTGAAATGTACACCTCAAACCTTTTAGCTCCTTTACCTCTCTTTCTTCCTTGAAAGCTACCTCTTTAAAACTTTTTGTTATCTGCTGTAATGTCTGCTTAGGAGACTAAACCAGTGTTAAGCTGTGTTACTAAAAGGTTTGAATCAAATTTTGCATCATTACACTTCTGAGAAGCACCTTTTGGTGTTTGTTACTGCATTGAAGACGCTATGAAAATGAAAAACGAAAGAACTGCAGATGCTGTAGATCAGGACCAAAAACAGAAGTTGCTGGAAAAACTCAGCAGGTCTGGCAGCATCTGTTAATTCTGACTTTTTTCTTGGCAGATGCTGCCAGGCCTGCTGAGCTTTTCCAGCAACTTCTGTTTTTGTTCCTACAAAAATGAAAGCTGATATTGTGCTATCAGTACATCACTGTCACTAAAGCAAAAACCAGGTGTACTTATACCTTTGATCTTAATTTGGAATGTTAGGCTGTCATCATTAGACATGCAGGTGTAATTTCCTTGGTCACTTTGCTGCACTTTTCTGATGACAAGTTTGCGTTGTGTTCCCTGAGAGATGATGGTTATCCTCTGGTCCTGTTTAACCTCTTTTTGATCCTTTTTCCATGTGACCACAGCATTGGCTGGTGACACCTCACAAGACAGTTCCAAACTTTCTGAGGCTATTGCTATCACTTCTGGTGGAGATTTTGGCTTGTTTATGAACTTGACACCCATACCTGTAAATAAAGAAGATATTTTCATTACAACTGGCACTTTAAATCAAACTAACTGAAATCAGAACAGATATCAATATTTCATTTAATGCAGATTCTTATCAGAAAAACTGATTTCACTTTCATGATCAAGTTCATTTCTATCACACTGAAATTGATATAACTAGGCTGGAAGAAGATCGTTAATTATGCTGCTGTTTGCCTGTATTAGTCCGACCATTTAGCATTTTTCTTGCAGTGTATATTTGAGTTTGAGATACCAGGTTTGGTTTGACGTGGATCCAGATTTTAGCTTTGAGAACCCAGCGTTAATGTTGGATCGTATTGCTGCTTACTCGGATGGCAGCATCGTCAAAGCCTTATTGTGGCTCAAAGGTTCTCAACTTAAGCAAAAACAAAACTGTACTAGGCATCTGTGCCATGTGTCTCTGCTAAAAGCAGTGTTTCAAAATTGTTTTATTTCAAACAATAAACCCGCATTAGCAACTAGAATTCCAGTGACTTAGAATCATAGAATCACAGAATCCCCACAGTGTGGGAACAGGCCATTCAGCCCAACAAGTCCAATCAGACCTTCTGAACAGCATCCTATCCAGGTCCACACCCCTACCCTATCCCTGCATTTCCGATGGCTAACGCACCTAACCTACACATCCCTGAACACTATGGACAATTTAGCATGGCCAATCCACCTAACTTGCACATCTTTGGACCGTGGGAGGAAACTGGAGCACCCGGCGGAAACCCATGCAGACACAGCAGGAACGTGCAAACTCCACACAGACAGTTGCCAGAGGCTGAAATTGAACTCAGGTCCCTGGCTGACAGGGGAAATTGAAAATTGAACATTTCCATTAACTCTTGAGCCATGTGCCTTGAGCCAATATTGCCAAGATGTTATGAGGCATGAATATTCACCCAGCTCCTGAACAACGTAAGAAATAGCACGTCAGCTAGAAAAATATAGCGAGATCCAAAAAATTCGATTCGTGGTGTTTTCAAAAAAGAAATTTGATTTACATCCAGGATTTTAATCATGAGACAAGAATCTCCCTAGTGGCAGCAGGAGGCCTATTTGTATATATTAACATTTCATTATAACCTACCCTCACTTTATTTATATGCCGTTTGATCTTTTACCAGACACTGGACAGAAATTATATGGTGGCAATTTCCAACATGAAGGTCTGCATTCATCACTTGCTCCTACAAGCCTCTACCTTGGCCAGAATTGCCCAACATAGAATGGTCATAGAATTCCTACAGTGTGGAAACAGGCCAATTGGCCCAACAAGTCTGCACCCACTCTCTGAAGAGCATCCCACACAGACCTACCCCCCTAACCTACCCTATCCGATCCCTGTAACCTTTGCATCTCCCATAGCTGATCCACCTAACCCACAAATTCTTGCGACACTATGGACAATCTACCATGGCCAATCCACCTAACCTGCACATCTTTGGGCTGTGGGAGGAAACCGGAGCACCCGGAGGAAACCCATGCAGACACAGTGAGAATGTGCAAACTCCACAGAGACAGTCACCAGGGGCTGGAATTGAATTCAGGTCCCTGGCGTTGTGAGGCAGCAGTGCTGACCACTGAGCCATCGTGCCGCCCCCATCTCAAGGTATGCTCCATGGGTAATGACTGCCTGTATTCCAGATGCACAGAGGTGATCAGACACACACCAGCCTCACTACATCTTCATGGTGCAACTCTGACACCATCATAATATAGTTCACCATTTAACCACTGAACTTGCATACTGCACCAACACCTTTCACTGCAATGCTGTTACCAGATCACATTGCGTACAGGGCCAAGCGACCATGTCATAAGTTAAAGTGTGGTGCATCTCAGGGGTCTTAGCTTGCTCTCTTAATGTTCACTCACTTTGCGTTTACTTGGATGCTCACTGCACCTCTGCCTTGCCTTGCCTTATTCAGAACTTACAGCCGCACAGTACTTTTGTCTTGCCTTGCCTTTTAGCACAGACACAAAACTAAGTAGTTTTTGCATGTTTTCCAGCAATTACCAGTGAAGCAGATACGTTTCTGTATGGAACCATGCTACATCAATGTCATGTCTACAGCATGTGCCAACAGCTTACAAAGCAAACACGCTGATTTTGCATCACCCAAATAGCCATGTCTTAAAGACTAAGTTCACTGGTCCTCATTGAAGTCAAGGGTGACTCTTGATAGTCTGGGAGTCCTGCCACAGTAAAGGGATTTCAATCTGATCACAATCCAGGGGATTGGACACAGTCAGTGGTCCAATTGGGGCAGTCAAGGGCTCCATATCAGAACAGTGGGTCACAGCCAGTCCTGCAAGTCAAGAAACCAGTCCAGGCAGTAGTGGTAAATCAGTCAAGAAGCTGTACAGATATTAGTCAGGGGTCTGGTCAGTCATCAGTCAGGGCTATCATTTCAAATTAGTCAGGAGGCTAGACCACAGTCAGTACTGGAGGTCCATTCACTGAAATTCGAGAGAGAAATATCAGGAGTCATTGTGGTGATGGACAAGTTGGGGAAAGTCAGTTGTGGGAATTGAAAGTAGCGTGCTGAGATATAGAGGGGACAATATTTGTGACGGGGCAATTCAACATATAAGGCTCGGAGACAATAATGTATCAGAGGCCATGGGGTGTTGCCAAGGGATAACATCAACAAACAACACCACCCTGGCATTAACAGGTGGGGTGGGATGGTAGGCACTCTTAAAGAGATGGGTGGGAACATGGGAGCCTCAGAACCAATGTGGTCAACTAGGGGTGCAAGAAAAAAAGGAACATAAAGTGTGGAGGATCACTTAGATTAACAGGCTGAGCCAGTGATTCACTCTGCAAAGTGCAACCTGTGTTGTCTTCCAGACTCAACCAAATTGCAAATGCACAACAGAACTGAAAATGGCTGCTACCATTTGGAATGAGTGGAGTAAGTGATTTTTTTACTGTCTAAGAACAAAGACTCTCACCGGGAGTGAGTGAATGAGTCAGTTAGTCAGTCAGTCAGTCAGTGAGTCAGTGAGTGAATCAGTGAGTCAGTGAATGACAGTCCCTTCATAAGCATTAATTAGGCAATTACATAGTACAGGTTTCAGACATCTGTAATCACAGAATTCTGCACACAGGCAGTGACCAAATATGTGGAATACAAATGCTGGCCACAAGCAATTTGACCATGTCATAGTCAATTTGTAATGACGAATCTCAGCAAAGCTGAAGTAATCAGAGTGACCAGAGGAGCGACACCTGCAAACCACAATTCAAAAAGAATTCACAAACGTCTCGTCAGCTGCACAAGGACACAAAGAAGTTTAACAACGTGCTCTTATGGGCAATGCCGCCTTTCTTGAGTAATATGGGAGTGGCGTGAAAGATCTCAGTAATCTTACCATAGTTACAATCTCCTGCCGTATGTGCACAGCATGGTTTATGTTACATACATCAAAATAAGGTCCACTATATCAAAACTTCATGTACACACACTCCTTGGCCCTCCCAGATCCTACTGTATCAAGGACTATGCTAAACTGTTATATGTGTGTGTTGTGAATGTTGACTGCTCACATTAATAAGAAACTTCTGTTTCTGATACCCCTCACACAGGTTCATTGAAACCTTCAACAATGGATCCAACTACAGCAGAGATTATCATTGCTATACTACAGTGTAACAAAGCACAGAGAAATTATGGAAGAACAAATGCATCAGGAAGCCCAGGACCAGCAGCAATCTTCTGCAACTGCTAAACAGCCTCCAGCTGAAGAAGTCACAATTTAAGGTACCCTCAGGATGCACAGAAGGTACAGGAGACACAGAGTCTATCGTCCTTGATGCCATTTCCTCCAGGTAAGCGAGATGCATTGCTGCTGCAGACTGAAAATGTCCCAGGACACCATCACAAAAAAAATCTACATGATATCAAGAAAAAGCTAAAGGCATTGGGTAGGCAAAGGATAACAGTGCTGACGACATTCTGGTAATAATAGTGAAGGCTTGTGCTCCAGCACTAACCCCTAGGCAATCTGTTCCAATACAGCTACAATATTGGCATCCACTTGGTAATGTGGAAAATTGCCCAGGTATGTCCTATACACTAAAAGCAGGATAAACCCAAGTCCTCATCAGTCTACTCTCAATCATGAGCAAAGTGATGGAAGGGGTCATCAAAGGTGCAATCAAGCAGCACCTACTCACTGACAAACAGGTTGGTTGTGTCAGATCCACTAGGCTGCTGGTTTAACTTAAGGATCTGTGGAATTCAGTGCACACCAGGACACTAAATAAATTTAAGGAGGTGATAGATGGATCTTTAATTAGTAATGGGTAAAAGGGGTATGAGCAGGAGGCAGGATAGTGGTATTGAGGCCGAGGTGAAATAAGTCATTACTGTATTAAATGGCATAGCAGGCTCAAGGGGATGAAGTGTGTACTCCTACTCCTAGTTCTTGTAATCTTATGAACTCCAAAAGTGAGATGAGAGTGACTGCCCTTGAAATCAAGGCAGCATTTGATGAAGCCCAGCAAAACCACAGTCAATGGAAATCAGTGGAAAACTCTCCACCAGTTGAACTCATAACATATACAAAGGAAGATGGTTGTGATTGTTGGACATCAATCATATCAGACCCAGGACATCACTGCATGAGTTCCTCAGGATAATGTCTAGGCCCATTATCTTCATCTCCTGCATCAATGGCCTTCTTTCCATTTTAAAGTCAGAGGTTAGGATGATCACTGATGACTGTACCACATTCAGCGTCAGTTTCAACTCCTCAGATGCTGAATCAGCCCATGTCCAGATGCAGCAAGGCCCGGACAATATCCAGGATTGGGCGGATTAAGTGAAAGGTACAATTTACACCATACAAATGCCAGGCAATAACCAAGTTCAACAAAGGAAAATCTAACCATTTCCCTTTGACATCTTGGGAGTTGCCATTAGCCAAAAACTAATCTGGACCAGCCATATAAAAACTGAGGCTACCAGAGCATGCCTGACGTTAGCAATTTCAGAGATACAACAAGGTAAAGCATTTACCCACTAAGCTATTAATTTAATACTTCTTTATCACAGGAACAATTGTATAACTTTGCCATCCATGACTTAAGTTGCATCGGCTTATACCACCTGGTAACGTAACTTATGAATTGTTGAGAGTAGTCATATAACACAGCTTTTTGACATACAAGTATGCACTTTTTAACATAAAGTTGAATTTCAATGAAGGCTCTACTAATCATTGCCATAATTTTTGCACTTATGTCATTTCTCATTGGCTTTCAGTGGATACGGACTGGACTTGAAGTACAAATTATAATTACCTATAATTTTCAAATTCCAGGTCATAGTGTCTTCTCCACATTTACATGTATAACTGCCTTCATCCTCTTTTGTTGTAGTTGAAATAAAAAGCCTGTGTTGTTTACCCTGGCTTTCCATTGTAAACTTTCTTGATTGCTTAATTTCTTTATCATCCTTGTACCACTGTATTTTGGTATCGGTGTCAAATGTCTCGATAAACAACTCTGCTTGCTCTCCAAACACAGTAGTAACATTGCGTTCTACTTTCTCTTTGTTAAAAAATTGAGAAGTCTCTAATGTGGGGAAACGAGAAAATATTTTCAAAATGCGATCAAAGAACTAGTGCTAGATCAAGACATTATTAGAGAAAATATCTTCCCTAGAGAAAATCATTCCGGTATTTGCTGTGCAACAATTAGCCAAATAAGTATAGAAAATCTCTTACACTAATATGAAATTTTTTCCCTTAACACCAATAAATATTAACACACAGGTTTAGTTCATACTAAATGAGATTTTTGTAGTCACAACAATGATAACAATGTTTCTGAGTTAAGAAAGGAAAACAAATAGACAGTGCTCTTCTTCCTGACTAAGAAAAAATCTATCTTGTTGGATAACAAGGTGTAGAGCTGGATGAACACAGCAGGCCAAGCAGCATCAGAGGAGCAGGAAAGCTGACATTTCGGGTCTGGACCCTTGTTGGTTGTTTTGTGTGAGCATGTCAAAAGGAATAGGACTTTAGCATTCCACATTTACGAGTAAGCCCATTGACATTCACTATCTGGGTTTACAAACAAAACATGGCAAGTACATGAAAGGGTACAGCTATTTATAAGGCCATTGCCCAGCAAAAATCACAGTTTTAAGGAGAAAAAGTAATGCAAGCACAAAAACTGAAGAGGGAGAGTGGGACTGGGAGGGGTCTAAGAAATTATAACTTGTGTATGTGTCAAAATATCAGACAATCACAATTCAGTGAAATAAACTTAGGTTACTACAGTGAACACTGCAAGGATGTCATTTAATAAGACTGGCATACATTAATTTTGGTTAAAAATGTAATCCAATTTTGGGTAAGTCACTCTTAAAAACAAATTTACCATTTTATGGTTAATTGAGTTAACAATCTGTTTATTTCGGTAAATGATTTTGACACCTCTGCTATGTGTCTTTTTGGTTTGCTGAAGCTAACAGTTTAGGCAAACTTGTTCCAGTCTTACTCTTGATCATCTGTTATATTCATTTAAAAGATAATTAATTAATTGTATAATGAACAAAGCACAACTGTCTACACTTAATTTATATGACACAATAACTCATACTCTTGGATGGCATGCACATTTATTGGTAAATGTTTAGCATAATACACACCTTTAACAGTGAGATGAAATGACATTTTATTCCCATCACAAACACATTCGTAAATCCCAGCATCTTCTGAAGTTACACTCTTGACCTTCAATATGCGACGGTGATCCAAAGTTTGAAATACATACTTCTTGCTTGACTTGATCTCCTTGCCATCTTTTGTCCAGGTTACTTTTGCAGCTCTGTCAGAAACCTCAGCAACAAACTGAGCTGTACTACTCTGTGACACAGAAACAATTTCCTTCTCTGCTGACTTATTTCTGAAACTCACTGGTACCGCTGGCAATGCTGTTAAAAGAAAAAGATTCCTTATTCTCTCTTTTATTCATTTATTTTTGATTTTCTTTTAGTCCTATTGATGCCCAATTTTATTTTATGACAAACAATGTGTAAAGTCAACTCCTTTCCAGACTACCAATGCTTTTCTACAACCAAATATAATCAGTCAATTTATGTCTTTAACTTTCACACTGGTATTATGATCCTTGCTGATCATAGAATCCCTACAGTGTGGAAGCAGGCCATTTAGCCCTTCAGGTCCACACCAACCCTCCGAAGAGCACCACACCTATACCCACCGCCCTACCCCATCCCTGTTACCTTGCATTTCCCATGGTTAATCCATCTCGCCTGCACATCCCTGGATACTATGCGCACTTTAGTACGGCCAATCTACCTAATCTGCACATCTTTGCACTGTGGAAGGAAACTGCAGCACCCGGAGGACACTCACGCTGATGGCAATACTGGACCAGATGGATCCCAGCATGAAACCTTGCTTAACAGAACATCAGTTTCATTTTTGCAGTTTGGTTACTGTGGCGAGAGTTGGGTCCTTATGCCTGAGTTGTGGGCCGGTAGCCCAGGCCAGGAGTAGCATTGAGCTCATGATGACTGTTTCAGCCTTTGGCAATTAGTCACTGAACATATTGGCACAAGGCTGCCAGAAACACAGAAATATTATCGCACAGAAAGAAGCCATTTGGACCATATGTCAACATTAGCTCTCCAAACGAGACTCAGTGCCATTCTCCTGCTTTTTCACAGTGTGCCTGCACATTGTTCCGAGACAAATAACCACTCAATGCCCTCTTAAATCCCTCAGTTGAAATTACATCCACCAACCTTCCAGGAAGTGCATTCCAGATTCAAACCACTCATTGTGCATCTTTTCTTTTGAACTGGATATGATTTGGCTTTTAGCTTCTCCATCTGCCTTTCAGTGGTACAAGTTCAACTTAGTAACCACTTCAACAATTATTTCATGCAGGTCCCTCAAGTCTGCTCCACTATTCAATAGGCTCATGGTTGATCCAACACTCCTCACACCCACTTTTTTGCTCTTTCCCCTTAACCTACTGATTCCCCTACTGATCAAGAATCTATCTATCTCAGCCTTAAATAGACACAGAGACTCTGCTCCCAAAACTCTCTGTGCCAAGAAGTTCCAAAGGCTCACAACCCTCTGAGAAGGAATTCCTCCTCATCTCAGTCTTAAATTTATACCCCTTAATTCTGAGACTAAGCCCTCTGGTCTTAGACTCTCCCAAAGGTGGAAAGGCAGGTTGTGAGAGGGATAGAAACAGTTTAGAGGATGAACAGCCTACTCCTGTTGCTATTTCTTATACTTTTATGGTCTTCATCACCCTTGGAATCATTGCAATTCCCAATTCAAAGCAAACTGGATATATAAAGCTGTTGAAAATAGTCAATAAAATTTTCGGTTTTACCAAAAGGGTTTAAGTACAAATGTTAGAAAGACAAATTATAAGTTTATACAAAACGCTGATTAAGGCACAATTAGTGCTACATTCAGTTTTGAGCATTCCACAATTGAAAGGACATTAAAACTATGGAAAACACTGAATGAAACTTCACCAGTACAATGAAACTATTTTTATTGTAGCAGAGATGATTGAGAAAATTTAATTGAAATTTTTTAAATCATCAAGAGTTTTGATGGGAAAAATACTATTTCTTTGGATTGGGGAATTAATGACAAAAGGTCATCAATTTAAAATTCATCACTGAGAAAATAAGGAAAAATGTTTGAAGAAATTTATTTTTAAAGGAGCTTTGCTCTGTTATGGTCAATTGAAGAAGAGATCATTATTTCTTTGAAGAGGAAAAATTATCGAAATATTTGAAGGAAAGGAAGTTGTAAGGCCATAATAACAAAATAAAAGCAAGGCAGAAAATTATATTTGCATTGCTGTAGTGAAGCACTGGCAAAGACATATGGGGTACATAGCCTTTTGTTTAGTAAAATTGTACAGGTCCATAGTTCTACACATTAAAGTGTTCTAAAGTCAAGAAAATCGTGACAACTCATTAGCAATCAAAGAAGGCAGCCCACTACCATCTCAAGATCACTTAGGAACAGACAATAAATGCTAACCTTGCTAGTGACCAACAGATCTGAGGAATTAATTTTCAAACAAAGGATATAAGCTATCTATCGTCACAAAGGTTTCTGTTCAATGATTCGGCTCACTGCAATTAGCTAGAAAATGGGAAGGTAAAAGCGCCACTCCATTTACATGGAACAAAGTTCACCTTTGCATAGCACTGAACATCAGGTATAAAGGCTAAAATCCAAAAATATAGCAATGCCATCCCCATTTTCTGTGCAGTGTCACTTTGATTAATAGTTGTTGGCTGTCTGAGGGAGACAAACAATATTTTTTTCAAAGAATCACAATTAGTGGTTGAACAACATTAACAGCATGCTAATGTTTCAACCCCTAATGTAGGTTCCGGCCTAACAACCGTAAACCTCCACAGCATCTGATTGTCTACAAATACTGAGCATAAATGCCATGAGCATGACTTACCCCTCCCTGGAAACGGTGGGGAAGAGAGCAGGAAGGGTAAATAATGGAGCAGACTGGCTCTGAAAAGATATCTACCACCTTTCCGCCACCTCAGCAATCAAATTCTGGGTGAGAGGATCCATGGGCAACCTTACCAGCTAATTAAGGCAGTGAAGTGGTCAATTAACAATACTTAAGGACCTCAACCCACCACGAGCCCAATGATCTGCCTTCCCAGTAGGCAAGAAAAGTGGCTGCCTTTTCAACATGGGTGGCCTCCATCTGTCCCAATCTTGGGCAAAGACAGCACGGATAAGGGGTGAGGAGTTGTCGGTAAAAAACAACAACCTACCCTTACCTCCAATTCTACTGACACCTACTCCCCACATACCCCTCTCTGCCTTTCCACCAGAAAAAAAAGCATATCTTCTTTTTGGTGCAGGTCTTTATGGATTTACAGATTACACACCTCAAAACTCTTTCTCTCTCTCTCCCCCACAGGGCCTCTGAACAGTCAGAAGCTTCAGGAGACGTTATTGACAAGACACCTGATAGGCAGTTAGCACTTAAGTACCTGAACGGTGCTTGATCTGGCAGGTTTTCTTTAGGGTGGTGGCGGGGCCATGCTTGGCCCTAAGGTTACCCACCAGCCACACTTAGTGCAAAAAAGAATAACAAAGCCTGGCCTATAGCTTGCTGTTGACTTTTCGACAATGTAATGACCTCTACAAGTAGAAGTCTCTGCTGATTCACAAGTATAGCACAGAATTCTTAAATGAAACTGCCAGAAAACTCTCTACACTGTTAGATTAAGGTTGAAAATTGATTAAGGAAAAGTATTTATTGAACAAACAATAAACAGAATTTACTAAGCAAGCAAAACTCAACAGCAAATAAAAATTCACCTTTCACTCTTAATTTAGCACTGCTTTCAGCACTGCTAGCCACAAATTTCACATCAATGTCGTTGTCCAACAACCTGACTTGCTTAATTATTAAAGTGTGTGTGTTTTTAGTTCTCTGTATTATGTAATGCTCATTGCTTTGTACAGCATTTTCGTTGATGAACCACATTCCAGGAGCAATTGTAGACAGTTCAACAAAGAAAGTTGCATTTTCACCTGCTAAAGCTTCAGCATCTTGCAACGGTTTTTCAATGAAAGCTCTAGATTCTGTCAAAACAAAGTATGCAATTCAGTGTTAGTTACGATATTCAAACAATTTCAATTTGTTTTACTGAGTACCCAACTAAAGGAACATATAATAAACACTGCTTAATATTAATAATAATACTGATATTAATAGTAATCAGTAACAATATATGAAGCATAAGATCTCTGCACTGGAGTACAATGTGGGAAAATATGAAGTTGTTCATTTTGGACACAAGAAAACAAAAAAAAAAATTTAATGAAGAAAAATTGTAAAAAGCTGCAACACAAAGGGACTCGGGGTTATTTGCACATGAAAAAAGAAAGCTAGCACACAGGTACAGCAGGTAATCAGGAAGGCTAACAGAATATGGGCCCTTATTTCAAGGGGTTTGGAGTATGAGTTGGGAAGTCTTATTGCAATCGTACAAGGTGTACTCAGTACTCTGGAGTACTCTGAACAGTTTAGGATCCCTTATTTAGGAAAGCTATCATTTCATTGGAGAGAGTTCGGAAAAGGTTCACTAGAGTAATCCCTGTCTTATGAGTAAAGGCTAAACAGGTTGGAACACTGCTCATTGGAGTTTAGAAGAATGAGATATGATCTCATTGAGTCAGATTCTTAAAGGGCTTAATTGGGTAAATGCTGACACGATTTTTTCCCTCATGCGAGAGTCTAGGACCAAAAGGCACAATCTCAGAATCAAGAAGCGTCAATTTAAGGCTGAGATGAAGAGGAGTTTCTTTTCTCAGAGGGTTCTGAGTCATTGGGACTCCTTGCCACAGACAGCTATTTGGGGGCGGAGGAGGGTGGTCCTTTTGAATATTTAAGGCTGAGATATAGTTAGGTTCTTGATCAATAGGAGAATCAAGAGTTATAAGAAAAACGCAAGAAAGTGGAAATAAGGAATGTCAAATCAGCCATGATCTTACTGAATGGTGGAGCAGACTCAAGGGGTCGAATGACTTAGTCCTGTTCCTAGTTCGTATGGTCTTATGGTCTGATGGACTGGTAATCCAGAGACCCAGGCTCCTGCTCTAGGAACATGGGCTCAAATCCTACCAGGGCTGCTGATGGAATTTAAATTCAATTATTAAATCTGGAAATATAATGGTAGTCTTAGTAATGGCAGCCATGATAACTACCATCATTTGTGATAAAAATACAGATGTTTCACTTTTTCTTTAGGAAATGAAATTTGCCATATTTACCAGGTCTGGTCTACGTGTGACTCTAAAACCACAGCAATCAGGGTAACTCTTAACGGCCCTCTGAAAGGGCCTGAACAAGCTACTCAATTCAATGCTTTGAAAACCTCCCTGGCTCCATTTCGTCTCGGAACGTTTAAATAAATTTTCCCTTTTAAATGCAATTTCAAATCACTTTTTACCTTTGATTTTACAACTTTTAAATTAATTCAGAGAATGGCCAAATGCTTGGCATATTTCAGTAATTAACTTCTAAGCTATCAGTCACCTTGGCAGAGAGCTCTCATAATGTGTCCTTATCTCTGAGCCAGGAGACCCACATTAAAGTCTCACCTGCTCCAGTGGTGTGGAATAACATCTGTGAACAGGAAACAGCTCAGTCACCTGGGGCAGCATTGTAATCATAATAGGGGTGAGTGCCCCAGCCAGTGGTGGCAAAAAGAAGCATCCACATAATATTAATACTGGGGAACCCACAGGTCAGTTTTCAACACAGAAGTACTAATGGACATATCTGAGGCATTTCTGTGAGGTTTCCAGAGCAATTTTTAAACTGCCCCACTCATGTTCCAAAATTGCTGCTCACCAGTCTATAGTTCCTTGGCTTTTCCTTACCACCTTTACTAAATATTGGCACCACATTAGCCAACCTCCAATCTTCCAGCACCTCAACCAAGACTATCAACGATACAAATATCTCATCGAGGGGCCCAGTAATCACTTTGTGGGAAGTTCTAGGGTACACCTGATTGCTTCCATGCAATAAGCCATATCATGTTTCAAACATAAACTAAGATAACAAGGTGTAGAGCTGGATGAACACAGCAGGCCAAGCAGCATCAGAGGAGCAGGAAGGCTGACGTTTTGGGCCTGAAGAAGGGTCTAGGCCCGAAA